TTTTTTTTCTCTCATTACAACTACTTTAGTTGTACTCTACTCTTAAGTGAAGAGCACATAACTACAACTTGCACCTCCTAAATTTCCATCAATGAATGTGAAAAAACTTTTTATAAACAGCGGTTCCACACATTTGTCAGTTTGTCTCTTTTTCATCAAGAACCTTATTTTAAAAAGGTGGAATGACTCAAATTCTTTCCTGCCCCGTTTTAGACACACTCAACTTTGAAAGCTAACGTCGAATGATGCAAAAAACAGCCGTGTTCACCCTTCGTAGTTCCGTCACAAAATATTTAAAGTCTTGTTCTGTGTTTATTTTTTGTTCCTTTGTAAATGATTTTCTAACATCTGTTAACGGTTTTAGTTGAAATTCACACCAATTTTTGTTCATTCAATTAGCGGCAGCCAAGATCAGTGTATCGATCTTCCCAGTTCAAACCCGCTTTTTGACTTCAGTTTTCTTCAACTCTTGGCAAAGACATAGCAAGCAGTCTTAACACTCGTTTACTCAATGCATTTTTCAGAAACCAAATACTGTGCCTACCTATCTCTGATATTGAGTTAACAGGTTAAATTAAAGATTATGTGATGGATTTCTTAATGAATAAGCTATCTTCAAAAACCTTTCAAAATGAAAATTGCTTGAATTGCAGAGTAACACTGATTTGCAAGATCAATGCGACCTAATACCCTAATGCATAACTCGTAAACTTCCATTCAACTGTAACACTAATCACCAAAACTTGTCAACTCGGCGTAAAAAACTAGCAGAAAAGGTTGAGATTTGAGGCGATGATCAGAAACCACTTTTCCTTAAGTTCCCGATCGCCTCCTGATGGAGGATGAAGTTTTGGAACCCGAACACTACTAATTCGTAGTTCTTCCTCTTACTCTCCCATCTTTCCAACACTGCAGTTACGGCTTCATAGAACGAGGAAGAGCGCCGAAACTAGATTCTGAGCCATACAGTGGCAATTCAGTTTTTTAAGGTTAAGAGGGCTCATCACCTTGATACACTTTAACAGATACTGTATCCCATAATTTTTGAATAAATCAGACTTTTGAAAACAAATGAATCCAAAGTGGCAATACCCAGGTGTTAATGATCATTATCATAGCCACAAATGCGCACGAAAAGTACAACGATCCAGGTTCACAACTAATTTTTGATTTGTTAAACATGCAATATCTTTGCAAAAATAAAAAAAACGTTCATTTATTACTCCAGTTTCTTAAAAATTTTTTCAAATGATAAACGAAAAAGTCTAAAAAAGTTAAAGGCAAGAATTTCAACCCAAAATCAAGCATCAGCAACAGGTCATCAACAAATATAAAATACTCACTTTCTCCTAACTTTGACACCCTACCTTAGCCTTAAAGCAAACAAAACTGAATACAAATAAAAAATATACAAGCACACATAATTAGCATAAAAGCAGACAAAATCGCTAAACATTAACCGTATTCGAAAACGGCTTTTAAACAATATATAATCACTGTCAAAAGTGTTTTTGCAACAAATACTTAGAAGTGAATCTTTCTATTTTCTTCTCTTAGCTCGTTCTTTGTTCCTCATAAATATGTTATTATATAAGTAAAAAGGTGATAAGCTGGAACAGCTAATGGAAGTTCGTTTTTAACAAAAAAGACACAGTAAACAAAAGAGGAAAAAACCTGCTCTTCGATTAGACCAACAAAGTGAAAAATGAAGCATCTGTACGGAAAAGAAAAGTCACAGAAATCAAACTTCTCCATTCATGAAAAAATTCAGACTGAAAAATTATGACAGCCAGTTAAGAATTTAAACAAACTAAACAAAAATACGAATTAAAGCAAACAATACACTGGAACGGTTTGAATTAGGATAGATTTTAAAAAAACGCTGATATAGCGACAGGACTATTCTGCCCAGAAAGAGCTAGTAAATACTGACTTTTGCACACGAAAAAGATAATTAAATAATCTGGATTAAAGAATTCTGGCTGAAAGTCAATATATAATTGTGATATGTCGTTACAGTTGAACAGTGGAGTGCCATAATTGAAGATCAAGTACTCAAAAAACAGAGAAAACAAAACAAAAAAAAAAAAATAATAATAGGCTCAGGTTCCTTTACAAAAAACATCCTTGTGTGGTAACTGAAAACTCAAGCCAACGAACGCAAATTATCAACTATAAAAGTTATACCCGCTTAAAAGATACAATTTTTTCATTAAATCAAGAACATACAGCTTGTATGACGCTTGAAAAAAAAAGCAAATAAGATTATGGTGGCAATAATGGCACAAAGAATTCCTATACAAATAAATCACAGAAACACTACCACTTGATCCCGCAGAAAAAAATAACAAATTATAATCAACAATTTTTGAAGCCTTCACGATTTAAGGCACTCCTCGACTCTTTTTCCAGAAGTGACACTTTTACATTTGTATATAAATGATAACGAGTTATGTTGAGAACCTTATACTTTAACGACGTTAACCCATCCTTTTGCCAACGTAACTTCGTTTTATACATCAATTTGTAACGACATCTGAAATTCACGGTTTAGAAACCCGTGTCAACTTGTGTCTAACTTCTGTTTTTCCAGGACCTTTAAAATAAGAACAATTGCAAAGCTAACTTATTTACTGGGTTCTTCACGTTCGATGTATGTTTTATCATCTTATAACGAGCAATACTCGTAGGGTACCTTGAGATTTTAAAACCAGCAATATGAACTCTAAAATAATATTAGAAAGTTAAATGTATTGTACAACTTACTAGAAAAATTGATAAATAACAAAAACGTACCTTTGCTGAAGCCCAATTTCTTGTTCATTATGAACTAGAAATTGATTAAAATCATTGGTTTTTCAGTTACCTGGTTGAAAGATCGTCGTCTTCGCCACCCCAACCCCAATAGTCGTTTGAAAATCCGTTTATTTTGTCAAACTGGGCTTTCGTAAGTGCACTAATACCACCAAAAATTGACCCGTAAGGTAACCTTTAAATATTTATCAGTGTAAAAATTTTGAGAAAGCTGAAGGAAAAGTTGTTGAGTGAAGTATAAACACCGCATAAATCCAACTGTGACCTACAAACAACGTCAAATTTTCATAGTACTCTGAAACCACGAAGTCATAGCAGTCTAAATGACGGTAAAACTAACAAATCAGTAAAACCCTTTTCATCTCCCACTAGTTTTAAAAATGAAAAGTAGCCCAGACTTCTCAAAAATGTCAGGCACCTTCACTTTTACCAAAAGACTTGACATCCAATCACTTCCTGCCAAATAAATAAGCAACCAAATCAAAAAACCAAATGCTAAAATACTAAAAGTACTAAAAAAAAAAGTACTAAATCCATTAATCCTATTCTCCTTAATGCCGGTTTGTAAAAATGACGCCGCATTTAACTAATACAACAATAATTTGCAGAAACTCTTACTTGTAATGAAATTTATCTATTGCTACACTCATGTGACGTGGTTGAGCGGGACAACTATACAGATTACGATCGTCCTCTGGAAGAAGATCAACATCGTGAAATATAAAACACTGCCAGTTATATATTTTATTGGCTTCCATATATCCAACGTTCATTAGCTTGGCACGATTAAAAGTTTCATTTTCAGCTTGTTCAATCACAAAAATCCCGTAATCAAGTTGTTGCCTAGTCAGCATAGGATGTAGATTTTGCAGAAGAACAAGAAGATGTTTTTCTCTATCTCTAAAAAATGAAACTGTTTTCCAACACCAAATAGATAGAATAACAATCCATGTAATAAACGCATTCAGTGTATGCAACTAATTGACGTTAATCTTAGTATCATATACAGTTTCCTTATAAAAAATAATAAATACAAAAAAAAAGAAATACCTATAAGGTACTATTATTGCAACACGACTTCTTGATTTACATTCTTTTGGATAACCATGACCACCAGGTTTCACATCTGGATAAAGGTGCGAGAGACTCTCAGAAGTTGGTACATCTAGCAACACATTCATACGCCCAATCAGCTTGGGAGGGGACTGTGGACAGAGAGGCAACTCGGTGACTTCCTCCCCTTTGCTTTCTGTAGAGATAACAGTCCAATTTTCTGAGTACTGAGGATCTACAAAACCTAATTTTTAATATAAATAAGCACCTGAAACAATTTTCAAGTTCTAGTTGGACAAAAATTAGCTTACTCTCAGCGTCCGATGATAAGTTAAAAATATTTCCAGCTGAAGAAACAGAAAGTGGTTTCACTTGTAAAGCTCCAGAAACTTCGTTTTCCTCATCAAGAGGTTTTTCAAATGTGTTGAACCTATTATACTCGGGCACAAACGTATAATCGCTGAACAGTAAGTAGACTGTTACCGTGCAAGAGATAAACAGCATAATCAACTTCACCTTGTTGTTCATTGCTCACCATAACTCTATCGCGAGTCATCTTTCAAAGAAAAAAATACATCGTTGCTGACCTGAAATGCATCATAACTTCTTTAGGTAACAATTAACTTTTATTTCTGAAAAAGAAGTGCGATTAACGTTAAAAAAATAGAAGACGCACTAAATGATGATGATGAAAGCACAAAAAAAGCAGTATATATTCAATGAGTATGAGGGAACAGCCTTTTCATATATGTCGCCTGACAAAAGAATCAGAGCAGAAGAATGTTTCCTAAAACAAGAACAACGAACTGACTCATATTATCCAAACTATCTAACATTTAAATCATTTCACAGTAAGTACCAGAATGATCTTTAATAAAAATCTTTGAACTATTCCAATTTCACTCTAACAAGACGGCTAGCAAATGTTCACATTTCCTGGGCTGCAGGTGTGCAAATGTTGCTGTTACACACAAAAATAAAATTTTATTCCAATAAAAAACCTTATACAGAAGAATTATGTATACGTGTACGCTCTTTTAATCCGTACAACAATAGACACAACTACCTACTGATACACAACTATACTTTTTTTACGTCTGCACTCAAAACATTAATATGCACTGAAACAAGCCCAGGACAACTATTAGTAGCTTTTTTTTTTTGTTACTGTTCAAACACAATTATTTGAAAAATACAGTCAGACCAACACGAAAAACAAAAGTTTGCTAAAGAAAATAAAATTTTAAACTCAGAATAAAACGCAACAAATCAATTTCGCTATAACATAAATAAAAGTGAATCTTTAAAAGAACGCGAAAAACGATCAATTTGTTAAGTGTAAATGAAAACTAAATCAAAACAGCACCAAAATATGAGAAATATCTGCATCTTGTCAAAAAAACACTAAAAAAAGCCTGCATCTTTCTAAATCTGAAACTTTCTTTCAGTGCCATGAAGCTGAAAATAAGATATAATTTTTACTAAATGAAAAACATCATCGTCATCAAGGCGTTAACTGTTGCAAACGACTCGTTTAAACAGACACTAACCTAATCAAAATGCCACTTGTACCTAAAACTCAGAAAACGACTCTGATATTGAAAAAATGTCCAAAAATCTTTTTTTCAAATACGTATTTTTTTTTAAGAAAGAAAGAAATAAATATTTTTTTAAGAGAGAAAGAAATAAATATAAACTTCCAAAACAGAAACTGTTTAAGACGTAATGAAATTTTTATAACAAATTTACACTTAAAAAAGATGTAAAAACTGAAAAGCTTCAATTTTTTCTCAAAAATGACAACTCTATGAGGCAGAACAGAACTTCGGTAGGTCAATCAAAATCTTATTCTGTCATCAAAATTAGTTGTTTATCCTACAATGTCTTGCCCTTAATCTATAAAAATTCTTACTAGTTTCAGGGACTCTTCCAAACCCTATCCATTCCGTGCCTTTAACCACAGACTCCACCCTTCGTTCCGCTATCCAACCAATGTGACAGGTTTGATTATTTTTCTTCAATGTAAACTTCTATAAAACCTATTTACTTAAATCGATTTTCAAGTTAAAACAAAAGAAAAAATAAAACAAGTAAACAATCAACATCAGGAGCAGCTTCATTGTAAAAATCAGAACTATGAGAAGTATAAAAATTCAAATAAAAACTTTTCCTGAAATGCTAGAAAAGAAAATACAAGAAAGTAAATAATGGCACCAAAGATCCTTTTCAATCATAAAATTCATAAAAAGGTAAAGACAAAAAGAGTAAGAGAAGAAACCAAACTTCTTAACTGAATAAAACTTTCTGCTGTGCTTCTGGCCAAAAAGCGATAAAAAAAAAAGGAACGAAGAAACTGGAAAGAACAGATCGGAATGCCTCTTATCTCCGCATCAATGCGGAAACAGAGGTCAAATATAACCAATATTGCATTGCTTCGTATAGAACAAGATCAAAAAGAGCAGATTGGACTTTGAAAGGAAACGTGTATTAGACTGATAGAGATCTAATAGAGACCCTAATAAAGCAAAAATATTTCTAAAACAACCCTACTGATGGTAAACTGTCACTGAAATTCACAGCTGACTATATGACCTCAAAAGAGAAAACATGAAGGAAAGCAAAATCAGGAGCGAAATACACCTTCCACTCAATTTTATTTAATTTTCCGCTTTCATCCTCCGACCCAAAAAAATTGCCAACGATGGAAAGCGACAAAACAGAAACACGTGGCTATGGTAAAGAATATAATAATTGACAGAACGAAGAGATAAACAAAAAAAAAAAATCGCCCTTCTCCTCAAAAAAATTACGCTCAATAAAAGCAAAATGACATAATCACCTGTGAAAAAATAAGGAACAAAGATGGAAACTATAAAATTGTCAAAAATATTTATTCCTACCTCATTTGTCATCCAACAACATTGGTAGCGAGAATGAAGAGCAAAATGACTAGTGAATTTCACATCACATACCCAAGCAACCGATCATTCTCAATCACCAGCTGTAACTTCACCGCTGAATTTTCCTTTCTATGTAATTAATTTCCCTTACTCAAACTTGTCATTTCGTGCCATTCCTCTACTCCTTCTTCTAAATTACGGCATTCTGCTGCAGGCCGATAAACCAGTTAAAATG